GGGCCCGGCTGCAAGGCTATTCTCTTTCATCGCCTGGCCCAGCCGACTCCACTGCCATACACTTGTTTTACCAAACTCGGGGGAGTGCGGGCGGCGCCCCAACACAGCCTCTTCCACGTGCCTCGGTGCAGTCCCCACCAGCGACCACGAGACGGTGAAAACAACGGCATGGCCCAGCATTCTGTGGGCACCGGCAGCGGGAACTATGCCCCAGGCCCCACTAGCACCCCCGCAGTCCCGAGAGCAGAAGCCTGCCTGCTGGGGGAGGCAGAGTATCCGCTCTCCCTCTCTGGACGAGGCCAAGGGTCCCTCCTGCAGGCGCACCTTGGCCCAAAGGCTTCAGAGGGGAGGGGTGCGGTGGGTAGAAGGGTGCATTCCTAGACAGGAGCCCCGGAGAAAGGGGCAGGCCCCAGGGTGAGGGGGGCTCTGGAGGGTAGTTTCTGAAATCCAGGGCTCAAGGATAGAAACCCTCGAAACCCCCAACACCCACCCCAGGGGTGAGGAGCCGGGCAGACCCGTGGTCCTGGCCATGCCCAGACGCATCTGCCTGCCTGCCTGGGGCCGCCCCATAGGGCTGCTTGTCTCCCTGTGATTCGGAGCTTTCTGCTCATGCTGAGGCTGCACCCTAGACATGGGGTCAGGGGCTCGGGCAGAGCCATGAGGTCCGAGAGCCCAAAAGCCCAGGCTGGATCTCAGCCCCCACACCAGCCCCAGGACACCCTGGAAAATTCGTCATCCACACGACAGGGACGGGGCAGGCCCTGCCTCTCAGGGTTGGTGTCAAGACACACGTGTAGAGTGGGAGCCTAGTGCTTCCTGGCTCTGGCGTCCCTGGCACAGCTCTGGGCACAGGGGAGGGGGCGGGAGGGCTGGGAACTGCGTGTGGTCCTCACTATGTGAAAGCCTGCCCCACTCAGGCCCTTGTGCCTGTTCTCTGTCCTCATGGCCAGCCAGGTGCCCCTCCCATCTCACGGACGGGCAGAGCAAGACCCAGCGACAGTCACGGAGTGGGGAGGGTGAGCGGGGCTCTCCGCGCCAGCGGACAGGCCTGGTGTCGGCACCTCGGCGCACGGTGTGCCTCATCCCTGCCTGCCCTGCTGCGCAGCACAGGGCCCCAAGAGCCACCAGACTCTGCCCTGCCCCACGCCCACCGGCACCGAAATGCAGGCACGGGCCGACATGGCTCTTCCACAGCCATCACCACCCACTCCTGCACTCGCCGGAGGACTGATCCCTCCGAGCACGGATGGTGTTCCAGGACCCCGGCATGTCCGCGCCCACGGGGGCCTCTGGGGCTCCGCACGCGGCTGGACTCCCTGTGAGGACGGGAAGCCCCCTAGGGCTTCCCGTGGTGACCACACCGCAGGTCCCCACCTCCCCTCGAAGCGCCCTCCGCCTCCTGCCACCACTCCATCCACACAGCCGAGGTGCTAGCCACGTAGGTCACCCCGAGGCCACTGCACCAGCCGCGGTCACCACACAGGCTGCATCTCCGAGCCGCGCCCTGACAATGTGCAGCTCGGAGCCCGTGACGGTGCACACACAGTCCTGGGGCCGAGGGGAAGTGACCCGTCCGAGGACACCCTGGGCCAGACCTCCCTCCGCCCGGCTCACGGCCGAGCACGTCCACGCCGCCCCAGCACGGCCTCGGGCACCCGCGCAGCGAGCAGGCCCGCAGCCTGGCCTCACCTTTCTTGGCCGTCTCCATCTCCTCCTCTGTCCAGCGCGAGCTCTCGTTCATCTCCAGCGACGCTGCAAGGCAGACGGGCGGATTGGGTGGCCCGTGGCGGACCCGTGCGCTGCTTCCCCTTCCCTGACTGAGAGGGAGTGGACGGGGCCTGGCGGGGCCCCTCACGGACCTGAGCCCGCAGGGGGCCCCATCTTCCATGCCTCCCGCCCCGCACACCATCCCCCCGGCCGGGCGGCTAGCCACGTAGGCCACCCCGAGGCCCCTGCACCAGCCGCGGTCACCACACAGGCTGCATCTCCGAGCCGCGCCCTGACAATGTGCAGCTCGGAGCCCGTGACGGTGCACACACAGTCCTGGGGCCGAGGGGAAGTGACCCGTCCGAGGACACCCTGGGCCAGACCTCCCTCCGCCCGGCTCACGGCCGAGCACGTCCACGCCGCCCCAGCACGGCCTCGGGCACCCGCGCAGCGAGCAGGCCCGCAGCCTGGCCTCACCTTTCTTGGCCGTCTCCATCTCCTCCTCTGTCCAGCGCGAGCTCTCGTTCATCTCCAGCGACGCTGCAAGGCAGACGGGCGGATTGGGTGGCCCGTGGCGGACCCGTGCGCTGCTTCCCCTTCCCTGACTGAGAGGGAGTGGACGGGGCCTGGCGGGGCCCCTCACGGACCTGAGCCCGCAGGGGGCCCCATCTTCCATGCCTGCCCGGCCAATCCCATGAGGTGCCCAAAATCCTTGAACCCTCACACGGCGCCGGGTGCTTCTAGGGGCCCCAGGCCACGAGAGCCCCACCCAGCCCCCAGGGCCAGCGGACCTGCAGTCACCCTGTACAGGTGGGGAAACTGAGGAAGCCGAGGTCAGATCCTAACAGCTGCCCTTGTGAGCTTATCACCGAGAAGGGACAGCCCCCGGTGACACGGGGGCGAGCTCCAGCTGCATTTGTCGGACCACGGATGACTTGGAGCCTGGCCACCTCTTTGTGAGGAAGCCCTGAGTGTGGTTGGCTGGCTAGCAGCTTCCCAGGCTCTGCCGTGCAATGCCGACAGCCCCCAGCACACGTGTGCCAATCAGAAGGTTTCCAGGGACCCCTGGGGCACCACGGCCCCAGTACACCCAGTGCTAGGACGGGCTTCCTGTGGTAGTGGGTACCAAGCCTCTGCTGTGGGCACCTATAGCCACTCCCCGAGTCCCCGTGGACTTGCGAGGGGCAGGCATGAGGGAAAGATTGCAGTCTCGTGGACTCCACGCCCAGGATAACGCCAGGCCCAGCGCTCGCGCTCCCTGCAGGCTGGCTGAGGAAGGTTCTGGCAGGAGGGATGCATGGCGGACGCCGGGGGGGGGAGATGGTCCCCACGCCAACGACAGCCCTGCATCACCCTTGAAGGACCAGACCTGCCTGGGCTTCCCTGTCCCTGCAGCCATGCCTGACCTATAGGGTCTCACCGACTGCCCCTTCCTTCCCGCGGGACCCCCACATGGGCTATCTGAGTCCATGCCGAGGCGGAAGGTGCTGGATGTGCATCGGCCTGGGGTCCTGGAGACTCATCCGCACAGGCCCGCACACTTCTGCAGGGAACCCTTTGCCTGGAGCCTGCAGGTACGCCACCACCAAGTGGCAGCTAGAAAGTGCCCAAGGGCAGGACCAGCAGTTGGCGTGATGGCTACATCTCTGGACTCTCCTGTAGTGGACTGTGGTTCGAGTCCTAGACATGGTGGCTTAAACTCACACCAGGCGTGTGTGCGTGCGTGCCCAAGATCCCGAGGAGAATGGAGGAGAAGGGATTGCGGTGTGGCCATCCTCCTGGGGGTGATTTCTCACTTTCTCTCTCTGTCTGTCTGCCTTTCTGGCGAGCGCATGCACACTCTATACTAAAACCTCCCCCCCAAAATAATAAATAAATGAAAAGAAAATGCCCAAGGGAACGGCACCCGATTTGTGGGCAACAGAGCTGGGTTCAAATCCTGCCCCTCTGTGAGTGAGGAGGCAGCAAGGGTCTCTAAAAAGCTCAAGGAGCCCTTGCTGTCAACTGGGTCCCAAGGACCTCTCAGGGGAAGAGAACAGGCTCCTGTCTACACCCAGGGGTGGGGTCTGAGAAGTGATTCCTATGTGCATGCAGGGGTACGTGTGCTCTCGGCTCCGGGGCTCCGTGGAGGACGGGGTGGCAGGCCCAGCCCTAGACAGTCAGAGGGCGCCGAAGTAGACACCGCTGCCCCCTGTGGCCGACCTTGGGAACTGCCACTCATCCACCTCTACTGCCTGCACATAAACCTTCAGGAGAGGGGGAGGTGCAGGGCAGCTGGGACCAGCAGAAAGAGAAACAGGCCCACAGAAGCCAAGGTGCACACCCACTCCCCTACGAGGGTGGGGGCGGTACACACCCTCTGCAAAGCGAGGGCTGCCTGGGCTCCCCACAGCCTCACCTGCTGTGGCCAGGACTCCACTGGAATCGGGTCCGTCTGAGCTCCTGGGCGGCCCCCGAGTTCACCCCACAGTACAGGGACCCACGGTGCCGACCCCTCGTGGGCAGGCACGGGGAGGTTATGGGACTCGCCCGGGACACACCGCGGGTTGACCCAGGTCACCGGCCGCCCCAGGCCCTGGCATGCTGCCACAAACCCGCGCCCAGCGCCCCAGCCCCTGCCCGCCTCACCCAGCTCAGCGCTCTGCTGCGGGGTGACCGCCTCCTCGCTGCTGGCCTCGCTGGCCATGGAGCGTGTGATGCGGCCCTTGCGTCGCCCCTGGCTGTTGGCGGTTCTGCGGCCCTTCGAGGCCACCGCCTCCTTCTCATCATTGTCCTCCCCCGAGGTGTCATCCGTCTTCTCCCTGCCGGCCAGGGAGGGTGTGCTGGGTGGTCTCGCTGGCCCGAGAGGCCGGAGGGCAGCTCCCTGCACTCTGGCTGCCCAGCTCTGCAAGGGCCCGCACTCCTGGGTGAGCAGTCATAGGCCAGGCCGTGGCAATTCCAGCAAGGGGCGACTACGGTGAGTGCCACCCAATCACCAGGGGAGGGGTGCGGGCTGGAGGGAGGGCGTAGGGGAGGGGGAAAGGGCCTGGACAGGAGGGGTGCGGGGGGTGTCCCCGGGATGGGAGGGGAGTATCGAGGGGAGCCCTAGACAGGAAGAGTGGTGGGGGAGAAGGGCCTGGACAGGACGGGCATGGGGGGGTCCCCTGGACAGGTGGGGAGTATCGGGGGAGCCCTAGATGGGAAGGGGAGGCCTGGACAGGAGGGGCACGGGCTTCTGCTCACGCTGCTCACCAGGGGCGTGGGCTGGGGCTCTGCAAGGTCGTCTTACAGAGACACTGCTGCCTGAGCCCGGAGTCTAATTAACCCGATGGCAGTGGGGGCTGGTAGCATCCAGCAAGGCCACGCCATTCCCCCAAGAGATCTCCCCAGGGCAGAGATCTCCCCAAGGCACGGTCTTGGCCGCTACGTCTGGAAGAACAGCCAGAGCAAGCTAGCCCAGCCAGGTGCGTGGGGGCCTGTGGGCGCACGTGACCCGGACGCGGGAGCCAGGGCTTTCTCAGCCAACAGGGTGGGGGGGGTCGCTCTGAGCTCTGCCTCTCCCCTCCGCCTCCCCATTCATCTTCCTGAAAGGCCCTAGCAGGAGCTGTCTGGGAGCTGGGCGAGGAGGCCAGATGCTCTCCGAAGCCACATTCCTGGGCCGTCACAGGTACCTGGCGCGCAGCGCGCCGCCCCCGCCCCTTCCCGGAGGGCTGCGTTCGCTGCCTGGCAGGCAGGAGGGAGGCTGGCAGGCCTTGATCTCCGAGAACTCACTCTGACATGGGCAATTCAAAAGGTGAGAGCTGCCTGCCAACATGCCGGGTCCTTCCCTGGCCTAGGGGACTGGGGCGAGCAGGCGGAGGGGGAGGAGGGGGGGACGGCGAGGAGGAAGGGGGGCGGTGGAGTTCCGAAGTCACTGCCTGGATTTATTAGCTCGGGAGCAGAACTCAAATGAGCTATCAGACTCTGAGGTCTCCAGAGGGTTCGAGAGGGCGGAGGAGCCAGAGGAGGAGGGAGGAGGAGGGGAGGGAGACGGGCAGACATCCCATCCGGAAGGGGCTGTCGGAGGGGACAGAGCAGGAAAGGCCCCTTCCCCCACCTCTACAGAGGCTCGCCCAGGGCTGAGACAGAAGAGAGGGGAGGGGAACAGCTGCCACCAGGCAGAGCCGGGCAGAGGCAGCCAGAGGCGGGCAGAGGCGGGCAGGGGCAGGGCGGGCCTTACTTCATGAGCTCCTCCTTGTCGTTCTCCACGTCTGCCTTCTCCTCCTCCTTCTCGGCCTCCTTCTCCTTTTCCTTCTCCTCCTTCTCCTCCTGGCTGCTCCGGGGCAGCTGCTGCTGTTGCTGCTGCTGCTGTTGCTGCTGCCGCCAGGAGGGAAGGGCAGGGAGGGGTGACAGGTGAGTCGTGGGTAAGCGAGTCAGCCAGGAGAGGCCATGGGCACGCGGGGACTCAGAGCCTGCAGGCCTCGTGGGGAGAGGCCACATCCGGGCCCGTGTGGAAGTTGCGGAGAGGCACACACACTGGTACCAGATGCCCTGAGTGCGATCCTGCCTCCACCGCTCAGAGCTGTGTGACCCCGGGTAAGGGTCTTAACCTCTCTGTGCCGATTCCCACCTTGAAAACGGGTAACTCAGGGTGCTTGAGCCTCTGCCAGGGGCTGGGAGGTTGCCGCGAGGGACTCCTTACAGACACTGAGAACCGCCTGGTGTCGGCCAGGGGTACCGACGTGGTGGAGCACCACAGGGAGGTGCCCTGGTCAGCTCCAGGCAGAGCCGGTGAGCACCAGGGAAGCTGGGGACACACCTCTGACGCCCCAGCCTGGCCCAGCCCTGCCCAACAAGCTCATGCCACCCTCCTGAGCCTCGATCTCCACGTCTGTAAAATGGGGAGGTAGCTGTGACCCGTGTCACCCAAGCAGCTGGGCTGGTGGCTGCTGCTCCTCCCCCGGCCACTCTGGTGGCCTGGGCTCAGCCTCCCTCTCACACTCGCCCTCCGAGGGAAAGAAAACAAGCCCATTTTACAGGGCAGATCAAAGGGGTGCAGGCCAGGGCCAGGCCGCCGCCTCGTGGGGCGTCTTCCTTTCATCCTTCCCAGCCCGGCTGCTGACCGTCCCAGCAGGCCAGGGGAGAGGTGCGAGCAGCCGGCGGCCCCTCCCAGCACCGCCTCCCAACTTCCTTTCTGTTCTGCCTTCTTCTAAGGCACACGCGGACGCTCCTGGCCACCCTAAGGTGCCCCCTGCGGGCAGCTGCCAGGCCAGACCAACTTTCCACCCTGCAGGGCCAAGTGGACCGAGAACAAACCCGCAAGCTCCTTCTAGTGTGCGCTAGGCAGTCGCAGCACTCCGACCCCAGGAGAGCAAAGCGAAAGCGGCCGGGCGGACGCAGTTGGCACGGGGAAGCACACCAGGCTGTCCTGCCCACGGTCCCAGCCCCGTGCCTTCGACTCCATGGCACTGGTAACCATGAGCTCTCCAGGGCACCGCCCCCACCCAACCCCAGCTGCGATCTGCCCTTTCCTCCCCGAGAAGCCCCTGCGTTCTGTAAGATCAGCCCACGTCGCCTGATTCCTGCCGGGTGTCTGGGTGCGTGGACCAGTCTGTGCGCCCCTCCCAATCTCAAACCCTCAAACAAAAGCGAGGGCTGACACGGGGATCGAGGGGGCTGACAGGGAGGCTTGTTAGGGTGCAGGTTTACAGAGGGTTTACTGGCGTGCACAGGGCGAGAGTCGGAGGGCAGGACCCAGGGAGGGAGGCAATGCTATGGCCGGCAGGACGGAGCTCCTGCCCTACACACTGCCCAGCCTGGCTGTGCCGTCCCAGCACTCCCAACCTGGTGTCCTCCATGGGCAGGGTGTGCCTTGACACCCCCTGGTGCCGAGGCAGAGTCCGTGGGCAGCCCATCTACTGTACCCAGAGCTGAGCAAACTCCTGCCTCGCCGTGCAGCCCTGCACGCATGTCCAGGGCCAAGGTGGGGCCGCTCCTCCCACTGCTCCTGGGAGGTCTGCCGGGACAGGGCAGCCCGCTCAGCGCCCCGCGGCTGCTCTCTCGGTTAACCGGAGGGCGTGCTGCTCAGGCGACACCCATGCCACATGGGTCCTCAGCACAGCCAGTGGGACAGCCACGCCTGCCAGGGTCACAAGCTCCCAAGGCCCCACGGACAGTGTAGTCAGGTCACAGGGCACCACGACAAAGGCCTCGTGCGGGCCGCACTAGTAACAGCCCAAATCCAGGCTGAGACCCCCAGACCCAGGCCCTGCGTGCCCCAGGGGCGCCCCATACGGCCACGACCAAAATGACACCTCCCCAGGGCTGGCAGCTGTCTTCTGCGCAGGCCAGATGGGGACAGCGGACCTGGTGGGCCGTGCACACTCTGTCCTGCGGTCACGGCATGAAAGCAGCCATCGCCCATCACTTGGGCAGACTGTGCCGATAAAACTTTATCGACAAAAGCAAAGGGTGGGCCTGGGGCCGTCCTTTGCCACCCTGCTCACCCACGAGGGTGCACAATTCCCGGGGAGCTGGGTCGGGGTAAGGCCTGGGACTGCATTGCTGGTTGGCTCCTGGGGCAGGTGGCTGCTGCTGGCCCCCAGGCCATGGCGAGGAGGAAGGCCAGCAGAGGCCCTTGTCCCCTAAGCACTACCGAGTGATGCCACTGACAGCAGGTGATGCCTGTGGACGCCCATCCCCAGCTTGAGGGGCCTGGGAGAAGAAGAATCAGAAAGAAGCAGAGCTCACCCCACACCTCCACGTGGCCACGGCCACAGCAGGGCTGCCGTCTGCTTCTCGGACACGATGCCCGACAGGCGGGCGATGGCTTTTTGTCCAGTGCTCAGTCCAAACCACACTGCAAGTCTACGGAAGACCTGACTGGATCTACAGTTAGCCAGAACTAGGGTTTCAAATCCTTGAGAGTCCTCATACCCTGGAGCCGGTGCTGAGGCCCGGATCAGGGGCTGTGCACAAAAACACAGTTAACAAAAGTGGCAGGTGCTCGCTGAGCACAGGAAACACTCCCTGAGGCCTTCTCCTCCTGTCATGCCTAAATCCTCCTGCAGCCCTGGTGTCATCCCTGTTTCACAAAGGACAGCACCAAGGCACAGAGAAGTCACAGAACTGACCCAAGGACACACAGCACTTCCTAGCAAGGTCCTACAGTCAGGTGGCTCAGAGGCGAAACGGGACACTGTGAGACTGAGCCCACGCTGCCAGGAAGCCCTCCCTGAGCATGCCGGGCACACGGGCCATCTGGGGCTGGCTGGGCCAGGGCGCACTGTGCTGTTGCTACCTGGCTAGGGTGCTGTCTCCGTCTCTCCCACTCATGGGAGACATAGACGAACGTTTTAAATAAACAGAAAGCTGCTACAGCCCGGGCTCTGCCTCCCTGCCATGGCCAGGGGCGCACGTCCATCCAGCCACACCGTCCCACCCACGGATCTCCTCTCCATGTCACGTGCTCAGGTGACAAGGCTTACAGCGTGAGCTGAGAATGTCCCAGTGCCCAGCGACACCGCCTAAGGCATGTCCTCATTCATTCAACCAGCGGACATCCACAGTGCATCCTGCGGGAGCTGCTCTCAGACACTGGTCTGAGAAGCAGCTTCAGGGATCCGGGTCGGGGCCGGGGTCGGGGCCGGGGCAGGGCAGTTTGTTTCTGGCAGCCCCTTCCCAGTCCTGTCGCTCCTGGAAAAGCACAGGTAGGGACGGGACCTCGGCCCATGTGGGCGTCTTAAGACACAGAGGGGCTGCAGGCAGCTGCACCGGACCACGAGCCCCCTGGGCTGCCTGGTCCCTGAAGGCCAGCTGGTAAGCACCCGTGGCTGGATCAGTAAGGCCAGTCGCAAGGGGGAAGCACGGTCACCTGGAGGCCGGGGTGCCAGTGACCCTAAGCTAAAGGGGAGGCTGCAGCAGGAGGCGGGTGGCGTGGCCACACCCCATCGAAACCGCAGTCCCTCTGTCCTCTCTCCTGCCTTCTCATGCAAACAAAAACACCGAACAGAAAAACACAGCAGAGAACTACACATGGGTCCTCAGTAAGAGTCGTTAGAACACACACCAAAGGCTCTGAGTGCTCGAGCACTGCCCTCCCCAGGTCCTGGGCCAACGCGGTACCATCCACACTCTGGGGCTGCTGTCCCCTGGATCCAGGTGCTGGAGCAGGACCGAGCGCTGCGCTCCGGGCCAAGCCCTGCAATTCTGAGCACACACACCGTGGCCCCCTGGGGTGGGGCCGTGGGTACATTTACCCCACCAGGGCAGGCGGCAAAGGCAGCAAAACCGCCCTGCTCCCCCGGACGCAGCTGGCTGTGAACCAGTGCCCCGCTATGCAGTGACGGCGTCAACCGAGGTTGAGCGACACTGACACGCTGGATGCCGGCCTACAGAGGGGGGCTGGGGCGGCCGAGGATCACGTTAATCCTGAACCAGACGCTGGTCGCTGTCTAGAACTGAGCACAGTGCTCACCTCAGGCCGCGGGCTAGCCCCTGCCTTCTTGCCCATCCCAGGCCTCCTGGGAGATGCCACGCTCCTTCCTGCTTCCTGGGGCCTTGGCACTCCAGGCCCTCTGCCCGACCAGGGGCTCCTCCGTGCTCAGAGCTCAGGTGACACCTGGGGAAAGCCTCCAGGGTCACCTGCGATGTCCCTGGCTGCTCCAGACTAGAGGACCTTCCAGGGGCCCTTGACGTCCCCTGGCACAGCCGCGCTCACTGAGGCGTGTGCCGTCCACCTCCCCACAGCGTCCGCCAGGAGCTGGTTTGTCCTGTTTGCTGGGGAACCACCTAGAATGGCATCCAGGAAGAAAGCTACCACGCAGCGCTGCCTAGGACGCGGCCCCAGGACACTGCCCCAGGACGCTGCTGCCCTGCTCCAGATGCCCCAGCGCTGCCCCAGGACACAGCCGTGCTGCTGCCCTGCTCCGGAGGTCCCAGCGCTGGCCCCTGGAGTCTGCCGGACCCGCCCACCGCCTGGCCAACAGCACTCACATTTTCCACCTCCTGCCCACGTGGCCTGCCTCGAGGGGGCTGGCGGAGAGCCGGGTCTCCCCTGCACCACTCCTGGCTCGGGCAAAATCCCTAAATGGCAGCCGGGCTCACTCTGTCCCTCGGGTCTTGTCCTTCCTGCCCCCGGGGGCCCGCCCACCAGCTGCTTCCCTGAGAACACTATCCTGGGGGCACATCTGGCTGACAGCCTAGGCTCTACCTCACAAGCAGGACAGGAACCAGAGACGGCTGCTTGCTTCAGCACCAGATCTGCCCAGGTCCAGGCCGCCGGCCAGCCCCAGCAGAGAGGCTGCTGCCCTGTACCCCTGGGTGCCTGGGAAGGTGGACTGGACCCCCAGGCGGGAGGCGCTCCGGGCAAGGGCAGA